CAAACAAGGTAATAGAGGGGATGCTAATTAAACTCAACAAGAAACAATAAACCTCAGATATAATTCAAGATAAGAACTGACCATGGGAAGAATTGGAAATGATGTCCGATTACTATTTCACCCCCTCCACAGGAAAAGGGGCTTGTAGTGACGGATGAGCTCATACATCTCACACACCACAGTGCTGACAGCTGCCACTGTCACAGCTCAACTCCGACCCCTCAGCTTCATTCATCTGACTGCATGTGTGAACATATTCTAGGCAAGAGTTTGCCTCCAGTGACATGGAAAAAAACCACACACACACACACACTTGTGTGTGCCATGTGCCTATACTAGTAAAGTCTCATATTTATCAAGCTCTGCATATATATGCTTATATTGTACACGCTGCACCCTCACAGACACACACGTTCCCAGTTTTTCCTGTCCAGTGGCCCTGTGAGTGGGTTAATAGTGTGCGGGGGCTCTGAGGGGCCCTCTGGCATTGGCTAATGGTGGGTACGTTTAGCGTGAAAATGCCACATTGACCCCGCTCAGGTACCCACATTACTCATTCCACCTCTGCACAAGTGTTCCCAGATTCCCCATGTGGGTGTGTCTCGGGTTGTTTTTTTTTTTTGTCTGTAGGTCCTGATGTAACAGACCCAAAGTGGTCATATATCAACTGGAAGAAATGATGGGAGACGGGTATAGATTATATGCTTTAAATCTGTGATAGCGTTCTGAAGATATTCTCAATAGAGTCAAGGATTTTCTTGAATCCTTCTGTCCACATTCAGCTGTGGCCCTGCATTCACTCCACAAACAATATTCCTTCCATGCACTATTATTAGGGACCGAGCCAGTGACCAACACTGGAAGGTCCCTATTGTTTTTCGAATGTTTATTATTATTATTATTTTTAGCCTCTTTGACTGCATTTTTGACCCCCTGAGCATAAACATCTGGTGAATTTTATTTGGCAAATTTGTGGGGCCTGGTTTAAATCGCATATTCTCTGCGTCACTTTCAGGTCGTCCACTAGGAAGGCCACTAGGGGGCGCTATTTGTAGGCAAATTTCGGGACGCTAATAACTCCCGCATCGTTTGTCCCACATTCAAAAACTTTATATCCACGCGTTCGGTGAATGGAGCTGAATCTCCCTATATAGGCCACGCCCACTTCCGCCTAGATTTTTTTTCCGCTAGAGCGCGAAATGTCCAAAAACTACGTTTTCGTGTTCCATCTATGCGCTTTTGTCCGATTCGCACGAAACTTTTCACGTAGCATCTGGAATTTAAAGTATTTTGATATTTCAAAAAAAAGCGCGTTATAAAATTAGCACTTCCTGTAGATTTTTCGTCAAAAAAGGAAGTGGACCATTTCTCCACATTGGTATGTCTGATCGACACCAACCTTGGGTCCGTAGTTCCTTATGTCTTCATTAGGCATCGTGCACAATCTTGAACAACCTGAGGCCACCGCCACAAGGTGGCGCTCTTTGAAAGGAGAACGTTTATATCTCCGTGTCGGCACGTGTGATTAAAACGAAACTTGGTACGATGATTGCCCATGGCTCCCTGAAGCTCCCTAAAAAAGGTGTCAACAATCCGCCACTGGGTGGCGCTCTGGTGGAAGATAATTGGGCAAGAAATTGGGCAAGCTTTTTAAGTCCTAGAGGCTTAAAAAGCCTCTTGGACCCATACCCCAAACCCCACGGGAAGTCGGCTATTTTGATTTTCATTTTCACTCTCGGCGGCCATTTTGTTTGTCATTTTCAAATTTTCGCCTCGTATTTGAACGAACAAAATGCTGCTGATTAACATTTGTGCTATTTGCGACTGTACATCAAAGGGCGTGTCTGTGGCTTGCCGTCAAAGTTGGCCATTTTGAATCGAATGTCAAACTGTGATGCCATTTCCGGCATTTCAGGGCTTCTATTTTAACTAACTCCTACAGATTTGATCATATTGACTTCATATTCCATCACTGAAATCTAGACACATTGGTGATCGTAAGTTGATCAAATATTTACTGTGCGTCAAACGGCGTGTCCGTAGCATGGCACAGAATTTCAGCGGTTCGCAGTAAAGAGTCTTGCTATGAACGCATAAGTCTTCACAGTGTCTGAAACGCATGACGACGTAGAGCGGTCTCCTTCAGCCTCCGGTTGATGAGGGTTCGGGCGTGGGGCGACGTGGTGTGGCGCGGCTGCGGTGGGCAACCGCCATGCAGGCCCCGACGTGGGGAGATGGCGAGGTCCCGCCCAACGCTGCTTGCAGCTTTAATTCCTCATTATGTTCATAGAAGACGTTGTATATAGACATTATTTCTAGGAGACAGGGATGCTGGGATTATGATGCAGTGACTGGTTTGTCATTTAAGTAGCTACAACATACGTAATGGCCTGTATTCTTATATTTACATTATAATCCAAAGAAAATGGGTTTGCTATGTTAACTTTAAGTCTATGACCATCATTAAAGTAATTTAACTGCACATTTCATTACATCTCAAAACAAGTCTGACTATAGTTGGTATATAACATCAAGTTAAATACCAGCTAAGCCAGTTAGCTAGCTTGTCTTTCTACTTAAAAATATATATTGTCCTCTCTGTTGGACAAACAATGTAATGGCGCCAATGTTTTTAAACTACTTTAGTTATATTTACCATAATTACGATATATCTGTGATCCAGTGATACGCTGTTGACAAAAATGTCACCACAAGGTCCATTCGTTGTTGTTTTTATCATCATTTTATTATCAATCATATTTTAACTACTATTTCCAAGGTCAGGCATTAAGTTTTAATCCTAAATGGTACACCGTGTGTCATTATTCTAGTGATGTGTCATAACTTTGTTCTGTTAAATTTTTTCCCCACCCAGTGTCTATGAAGACCGACCCTACTCTGCCTCTGATCGGTCCTTAATATTTCTGTACTGTGGGCTGAGCGCAGGGGAAGTTTTGTTGAACAGAGAGCTGTCTGAGCGGATATGGCACTTTGAAAGTACCTTTTCTCTCTTTCCAATATAAAGCACCAGACTTGGCTTCCTCTGCACAGATCATGTCAAATAAAGCCTGACTGAGAAAGAAAAGCAGTAATTTCAGCGAGCGGTCTCTAACAATCCCCTCTTCTTTTTCCTGCAGAGAGCAGTTGTTTGCGTCAGAAACCAAAGCAACGCGGACCACCTGGAACACACTTTGACCGTCTGATTGCTATCAGAGACAAAAGGCTCAACTGTGGTCTAAGCCCACTGAGCATTTATATGAGCAACTGTGAATATTTGACGGATTTCACATGGTGCGTGCATACACTTGAATGCAGCATGCAATTATATGTATGAGAGAGAGGGTTTTTTGGTGAGGTGAAGTATAAGATGGGGTCATGTAAGGCTGCTTAGAATTGTTTCTTTCTGTAGACCATGTGATCCATGTGATGTTCATATTTATTGATGTTCACCACTTCTGTCCAGCATCTCCGCACCCAGCCAAGAAATACTTACAGCAAGTAACTCTTTTTCTGTACTGATTGAATAAATCATGGTGATTAGTTAGCTTTAGGGGAGGACAGAACCAGGGCAGTTATTGCTTTACAATACACGCTTTGCATTTCTGCATCAGAAAACATATCAAAATAGTTTTTTATATAATTTATCAAAAGTAGGTCAGAGTCGCCAAGAAACAGCAGCCTTGATAACATTTTATTCCTTTTTCTCTGTAGTCAATCTTAGAGGCCCATCTCATGAAAATCTATCTAGTACAAGACAACTACTTTGAAGGATGCTGGGTTCATCACATTCCATTTGTCTTTGTAACTGCCTCGAGAAGAAAAAAAAAAGCTTCTCTGAATAATGTCAGCCACCTCGCTTTTCTTTGGGGTTCTCGCTGTGCTCGCTGAAACCACGCTGCAATTCTCATTTTAGAATAATTAAGTTGCTCTTTCCAGGACAGCTCACCTGCTAGAGCTGGTGCCCCATGTAACCACGGCTGAGTCCTTGCTGCAGCGGCCCAGGGTTGGAATCTGACCTACGGCCCTTTACTACTGTCATCTTCTCTCTCTCCTTCTCTCTCTCTCTCTCCCCCTTTCCTATCACTCTTCAGCTGTCACTATCAATTAAAGGCAAAAATAACAATAATTAAGTTGCTCTTTGTTTTCAGGAGTGTATGTGAATTTAGGTCAG